ACTAAAGGATTCAGCCTTTTAAAATCAGTAGCTAGAAAACATGCAATCACACATTTCAAAAGAAAAAGTCAAATTCAATTAAAAGAAAAKAAAATCACAGAAAATACTACAAGTAAAACTGAAGAAAAAATACAGATAGAATATATTCTGGCTTGGCACAACATGATATTGTTACAAGAGCACTATAAATCAGTAAGGTACACATGACATGGTCAAGGACTCCCTGAGGAGTGAAGTGGCAGCATTATCAGCTAAAAGGAGACTTGCAAGCACCGATTTCAGACAGAATACTTCAAAGCTTTTATTATCCTTGATCTAGAATTACACTGACAGTCTATCTCAAGCTAAAACCACCATTTGCTGCTTCTCCATTACTACTGAAATAAATTAAGACAAATTTGAGATGATCAGGCCTTGAAAAACTGTTACTTAATACTTTATCTTCAAAATAAGACCAATTATGTTTTCACATATTTTTCTGTGAACTTGAAATAAGCAGATTTACAGCCACAACAAGCCTATAAAAGGAGAAAAAGACACCCCACAACAAATTTATTGATGCACAAGATTTCCACCTAGGAGATTAATGACAGATTTAATCTCTGCTCTTGCTTTTATTTCAAAAGGATGAGAACATAAAACATTAAAATGAGATAAGTGTCAATCTAGAAACACTGAAGTATTTCCACATCTGATCCACATGAAATGTGATCACTCAGAATGAGTACTTAACTTTCAATTTCAACAGTATTTTTAATGCTTTTTACAGAGAATTGCAATACATGTGTCTATTCTTTTGATGTCTCAACACATACCAAGTTACCTCATCTCCATGATGTACCAGAACTAAGCAAAAACTTTTCTTAGGAAGCAGCCATTAAAACTACAAGTGACATATTAATGTCAGAAAAAAGTAATTTTTTTCTTCTAATTCACTGAGAATGAAACTTACTGGTCAGCTCAAAGAAGAACAACAGGGGAGACAAACACAAAACAATACAAATGTTACAGGTCCTATCTCAGCTAGAAAAAGCCTTGTTTTCAGTAATCTACTAGCAAAGAAACCATCTCTGCAAAAGGTTTCAAGAGACAAATGACAAGGCCAACAAAATATTGGCCTTCTTTATAAACACAAAAAGCTTAAAAAAAATATGTATCATGGCAAACTAGAAGACAATTCAAGAGGATATTGGTACAAGAACAGAATTCCTCACTAGAGATAATTTACCATCATGTTAAAAAATTAGCAATGTTAGACTAGGTTGCCATGGTTTATACCCAGCTGTCAAATCAGCCCCACACAGCCRCTCATTTTACTCTCTCCTGGTGGAATGGAGGAGAGAATTGAAAGGATAAAAGTGAGAAAACTCGTGGTTTGATATAAAGCCAGTTTAACAGAGAAAGCAAAAGCTGTGCATGCAAACAAAACAAAACAAAGAGTTAATTCACTACTTCCCACAGGCAGGCAGGTGTTCAGCCATCTCCAGGAAAGCCAGGCCCCATCATGTGTTACTGTTACTTTGGAAGACAATCATCACCATTCCAAACTCCCTCAATCCTTCTTCCTGCAACTTTATATACCGGGCCTGACGCCATACAGTTTGGGATCTCCCTTTGGTCAGCAGGGGTCAGCTGTCCCAACTGTGTCCCCTCCCAACTCCCTGTGAGGAGCAGAAAGGCCTTGATGGTGTGTAAGCACTGCTCAGCAATAACAAAAACACCCCTGTTATCAATACAGTTTCCAGGGCAAATCTAAAATACAGTCGCAGATCAGCTATTCTGAAGAGAACTAACTTTATCCCAGCCAAAACCAGCACATAAGGTTTTTAGGGTTTGGTCTTGGGATGGTGATTTTTTTCTTATCTATACAAAATAAAAATAAGAAAACTCAATCACCAAAAGAATGCTGATGAAAACTTTTGCTAATTCAGGAAGTAAACCAATAAACCATGAAAAAGCAGCTTAGACGAAGCACTAAAACTAGAACCATTTTTCCTTATACAGCTGATGCTAAATGGTCTGCTATATGAACCAATTTATGTATGTTCTACAAATTAATTTTTATTTAAATTTCATGCTTAGAAAAGTTAAGTGCTAAATTTTACTTACCAAACATCCCACTAGTTTCAAGTATGTAGGAGAAACTTAGGATTTGTATTTATAGTATTATGGTTCTATGCATTAGTTAAATGAAAAAAAAAAAAACCAACCTTACACTAGTATTTGTATCAACCTTATACTAGTATGAAATATGATGCACTAGCAATATATTAAAAATGGAGAATAGGAAACCTTTGTTCTAGGTGCATTAACATCATCAACACATGTACTGTATAGAAAGTACAGATAATAAAAATTTTAAGATCCCATCTAGCTGAGCAGCAAGTTCTTACACTTCTTGCACATATATTTTGACCAAATAACTCATTTTCCTTGGTTTTGAGGGCATGAGAAATTCAATACCTTCAATATGTATTTCACATAATTTTTTATTATTTTTACATATAAAAAGTGTAGTGTAAAATCAACTTCTGAGATACATGTCTGTCTGTGACTGTCACATCCTCATAAAATATTGTATCATGAAACAGAAAGGTGTTACACTGACAGTAATTCCATTGTGTTTTCATCTGCCATGTCACTGTACTTACCTTAAGAGTACAGCGGTAYAGGTGAAACAATTTACAAAAGTTTAATACAGAAGCAAATTGCAAAGCTTCCTGTTCCCAAGTGTCCTTTGCAAGCTGCAGGCCTATTATTGATCAGCACGCTTGGCATATCAAAAACACTCCCATCCACCAATAATTAAAAAGGTAACACAAGAAAAGCCACACCATCTTAAAACAGTATAAATTATTACCTATTCAAATAATTAAATACTCCTAAGAAACCCAATCTTCAATAATCAGCTCTTTTTTGCCATACCTCAGAGTACTGTGTAAATTTTACATAAATCCTCAATAAATTTTATCAAGTTATAGCTTACAGTAAGATAGAGTAAATGAGTCTAAAACCTTTTAATCTTCCCCACACTTGAAATGTGCTTTTACGTCTAAATATAAAAACTTTGGCATAATTAGAGTATTACTGCGCATTTATAATGATACCCATGGTTCTTCTGAGACATGGAGAAAAATAGTCATGAAAACTAAAATACAGCAAGATATTTGGTATGAATAACAGACAATGAGGGAAAATAATTAATATAGTTGGGGAGCCTTTTTTCTATACATACACATAATTCAATATATTAACAATGTATGTGCTACTGAAAGTTATTTTTCAAATAATTAAAACATAAATCTAAATTTGCACAGTAGGTGTAGAAAACCACAGAAAGATACTTCATTGTATACCTGGATTTTCAGCTTTCATGGTATTCAGACTTTCTTAATGAAGTAATTTTTTGGGCCTGTTCAAAAGTTGTCTGCAATTTTTAAAAAAAYTATACTTGTGTTGCAATTTTTGAAATTCTCATACTATGATACCAAATGAGTAATAGATAACTATCCAAATTCTTTTAGTTACATACTCACGTTCTTGATAAAATTTTCTATTCAACGTTTAGTTATTCAGTGTATAAGGAAATCAAGTGTAGTTAGGTTATTTCAGCTAGCAGGTTAGTAATAATGCTCATCTCTATAAAATCCTACGAGCTTGAAAATAATATAAACTGTTACATTGAACTACTTCAACACTACTGAACACAAATATATTTTATTAATTCGGCAAGCTGTTAGAAAAAAGGCAAAGTAAACACTTACAAATTCATCATTTTTTTAAGAGAAATAGAGCAGTAAGTTAGTTTCCATGTTGGCTCATTCTGTTATGTGCTAAAAAAAGATTACATAGTCTATGCCAAAATCAGGAATGCAAGATGGTTTTACAGAACTATATCCACTATTTATATTGAATTGATGCATCCCAGCTGTGGACTGGGAATAGACTGCCTAGTTCTTTAATACTTCATTTTTTATAGCAAATTAAAAAAAAATTGACCTAGAAGGACACAATTGTGAAATTTTGGGGGTTTAGTGATAAAGTTTAGGATTCTTTTAGTCAGTACAAAACAATATGGAGATATGCCAACACCATCACAGTTTATATACTACCAATGAGAATAAATAAAAAAGTAATTCAGGTTGCACAGTTTAATGCGGGTGAATACTGTACTGCCAGAATGTTGCTTCAGCTATCACAGGAACTTTTGAGACCAAAAGAAAGAAAAAAAAA